TTTTCCCACCCGGCTCGGACACTCTCGAGCAAATCCGCCATGGCTGTTTCCCTTCAACACACTATAGCTCTGTTGGAGCTTCTGAGAGATGCTTTAGCGCTCATCATGTTTATAACAAAAATAGCTTGCTATATCGTGAGTCTTACTTTGCGCTTATTATTTGATTGATTCACATAAGTCGAGTATTATTATCCCCTCGGTCCAAATCATCAATCCACAAATTAGGAAGGTCAACCCTAGCGTTGGTAGTTTTTTTTTTTAAATTATGACCCAGGAAGGGGGCATCTATACGGCATAAATATCTCTCCAAGAGATTTACGCGAATCTCCTTTCCTGATCATTTCACTCCTCTTCCGTGAAGTTTCTGCCAAAATCTCTAGAACCCTTCTAGAAGCAACCTCGATCTATCACGACTACTTCAACAAATTCGACCCTCTTCTCGAATTTTTGACTTCTTTGGACCACCCCGGGTACCTTCCCAGGGGGATTGCCCAAATCGCGCGGCAGAAGGCAAAGTCAGCGGACGGTCATGCGCGGTAGACTATAGGGAAGTTAATAGGGCTGTCCACTGCACGTCCTACACGCACCCATGCGTGCAACTCGTCCGCGACTTGCCTTCTTGCCGCCGCGTGGGCTGCCTGCGGGGGTATCCCAACACCACGATACGCCCATACCAAAAACGCAAATACGGCCTCCTCCGCTGGTACTTGTGACAATAAACGTTGGAACTTGCTCCGCAGTACATCAGTGCTTCACGTCGGCATCTCGAGTCCTTCGGGGATCGTAGGAATTTTATTCGATCCACTACTCTTGCCACTGAATCTTCACAAACGTACAAGGGAAAGCCGGAAGTTTTCCACGGAAGTTCGAATTGAGAACTTGGTATTTTATACAGTCGGGAATGCTGATTAAAGTATGGAGACCGTGAACTGCTATCTCCCTTCAAAAAGCGAGAAAGTGTCGGGTGCAGACCATGCACCACAAGTGACGACGGCCTTCACAAAATGTTAATGTTTTCTGCCAATGAAATGATTAGCCTGTTGCAGTTGTATTCTATCGATTGTCACTAATTTACAACTATCATTTACCAGAAATCAGCTAATGAACAACTTCTAACATATTTACTTAGGAGTCCTCGTTGCAGTTGGGCGGTCTGTTTCTGCACCGAATTTTCTTTATGTTCTTTTTTTATCGATTTTTTTTGTTGAAGTCGGGAGGTTATGTACGTGAACTTCTCAAGCAATTTGGGAGCAGCCGAAGTTGGTGGGAGATGTGGTTTCAGCTCATGAGGCGAACAAGTTGATTTTCTCTAAAATCTGCATATAGGTAGCCTATCACGAATATAACATTATTTTTCTGCACTACAGGTAATGGGAATAGGAGTCCTTGGTTCTGGCACCTCAGTTTGGCCATAACTTCTTTGTTCGCTGCATTGCCTTTCTCTTTGGGAAGTTCTATGAAAAACTAAGGTATTTTGGTACATGCTAGTGACCTGAATTCGTGACCTTAGCGATTTCCCTTAAGGGTCTTCATAATATTCAAGAGAAATTATCGAGAAATGAAAGCTCTCATGGTTAGTTAGTGATTTTCTGATATGCCCTTTACACTAAACTTTTTCTATCAGATTTCTACGTCGGCGGACAACGCGGGCTCATTCCTTCTTGAGGGTGACTGTCTTGTGAGTAGGCAAAACACCCTTCTAAAGTAACAATTTTAGGCTACAAACTATGTACACACCCTGACCATTCTAATTTTCGGTATGTTTTGGTTCGCCCCTCTCTCCTCCTCCTAACCTGCCCTTCAGCTGCCAAGGCAGCTCGATCGGTGTTTATATAGTCGTTGTGGGTGTTATAACAATCATGACACAACATCGCTAAGCCTTGATCTCGCAAGATCGGCCAGCTCCCCAGTTCCCTTGGAGGTTAGTTCCTCCATTATGCGGACGGACAGACCGACATACGCACATACAAACAAACAGGCACACCAGTTGTGACTTATATAATGAGGTGATAATTTTTCTGTGATGGCATTTTGTTTCCATCCTCTTGATTTGCGTCACTGCATGGATCATACCAAGCTGGAAAAACTACCTATGACATAAGCGCCGTGAAAAAGCAGGGCCTACTATCTCTTCCGCCTTTCTCCGGAGGCCAAGCCGTAGACGTAGCTGAAACTCGATACGAAAATCGTTGCGACTGTGGGAATGGCCAGATTGCTACGTCAGTCGGTCTGAATACATAAGCACTTCCTCACAGACGTTACTTAGCTGATACTCTGAGCAACAGCTAGCCTAGAATAGAGCAGACTCAATGGAATAATCTTGACTTCTAGCAGTTTCTTCAAATGGAAGTGATGAACCATGATGCGTCACTACTTCTATAAATCCCATCTCTCATTTAATATTCTCATTTACATTTATTTTCTATTTCATATTATATCTGTTCGTTTATCGTTCTTGAAAGGACAAGGATAAGCCATTCGGCGTTGGTCCTTCATTTGCCTCTCGTGCACTCTACTTCCATCTGGAATACAATGACTTGCGACGGCCGTCCGAAGTACAAATCAGTGTTTTTATCATCCCACACATGTCTGATACCAATTATTCAACTGCGCTGTTACACCAATTGCGCCCAATTACTACCCTTGTTTCAAACAATTTTACAATCTCAGTATGGTGCTGTCCCGAAGCCTCATAAGGATCTGAATGTTAAACAACAGTTTGAGGCTCCAAAATGGTAAGCTTTCGAGATTAAGTGTTTTGAACTTTTTGAAATAAATGTTGGAGCCTCAAACTGTTGTTCAAAATTTTACAATCTGCTATTCCACGTTTTGTTTGAAAAATCTTCTACAAGGGAAGGATACCAGGTCGAAGTGGCCATTTGTAACGAGACATACACCACTAGATGTGTTTTTGGACGCTGATCTCGAATCTGCTCTCCAAATCTGCGAAACGATTCTCTGAACGTAGTTATGAAGCGAGATAGTGCAGTGGCAGCGGCCCGGGCCGACGAGCAAGAGGTCGTGAGATCGACTTCTTGGCGAGTTCTCAGCTGCTTTTCTTGAAACATTGTTCAAAGGACTCTTATGCATGCTAATCATCAGCAGTTGCCTATCCTACAAGAGGTAAAAGTTGGCAAAGAGCTTCGAACACTCTGCGCGTCATTTGCCCTGTCCTGTCGATCGCTTGTGCCCACATTTTCGACTTTAGGTCAAAATTTTGGATTTGGACCAAAAGTTGTCGGAAGGGGTAGTTTGATGCGCTGAACACGAAAATCACATCTATTTGCAAGAAAGTGCATGACGCATGCGCTACGGGTGCCAGAGACGGTCATTCGCCAGATGACGCACACAGTGCTCGAAGCACTTCGCCAGCTCTTTCCATTCGTATGATAGGCAATCGCTGATGACTTACATGGATAAAATTCCTCAAAACAATAACTCAATGTAAGAGTCATGTAGAATCCAAGAGTCGATCCATGGCCTCTTGCTCAGTTCGGTCCTTGGCCGCTGCCCTGCACTACCTACATAACCTACACTCCAAAACGATTTCGCAATTGGAGAACAATTTTGAGATACGTGTATCAGAAACCACATATATTGTTTATGTCTTCTATCAAACAAATCACTTCGACTACGTCTCCCTCCTGTCGCCCAAATATGTATACACAAGGAAGAGGTTGTTCCTACCACTCCAATAGTGAACGCTGTGTCATTAAGCTTTTTGTTTTCCTCATATACCCAGAGAGAAGTCTCTAGTATAGTTAGGTTTGGAAAGTCTTTCCAGAAGATGCTGTAGCACGGCAAAAAGGAACAGTTTTCTAGAGTGAAAATTTAGTTCTAGGGGCGATTCAATTAACACTCTTTAACCAAAAAGATAGAATGGAGACCGCGCGATGATACGTGTCCCACTCACTCGCAGTAAGAATACCAATTCCCTGTTTGAGAGATGACAGAATATGATTAGCCACTCGCCGTTCCTATACCCTACGAAAGTCTTTAGATTGTCTCATTGGTGCTATCTTACCCCTCATGTTATTCCTAACAGAAAGCTCAAAGGAAACGTCTCTAGTCCCGAAGGTAGAGCTAACAAGAACGCTTCCTTCTCCAGACTCCATCTTCATCGCCTTCTGACGTGCTCAATGTTCTCCTCTTCGTTTTCCACAAGAAACCACGAAAAACTAACAGCTCAGATCTCACTTGCGACAAACTGAGCCAATCTCTTTCGCGAAATAGTCGGGGCCCTTTCAATCGCCGTGCTTTACCAATAACACTTTTATATTCGTGCAGTACGTGAAAGCGCATGGCTTCTAAGGAGATTACTTATGACCTGCCTGGCTTGGCTACGCATCCCCCGTTAAGATGTCGTCTGATTGACTAGGTCTCGGCTTGTTCCCTATGCTTCTCTCATTCATGTCCGTTCCTCAGCACTCTGGCTCATTGTATAATATGCCGTCGTTGACCTGCCTATATGTCTGTGGACTGATGCTCCCTCCCACAAGATTCTTATTTCCAAGGTTTTCGGCAATTTCCTTTGCCTTTTGGTGGTATACTTCACACCTCTGCTTTCATTTCCAAAGCAAACAACCACATCTACTTTGTCGGGGAATGTGCTTTTGAAGAGTGCTCATCTTGGAGGTATTGGTTGCTTTCTCGCGGACTCGCTCAACTTTACGATCAAGCTTTACGAACTTTGAGTACTGAACCATAAGGTCATTCGTGGTTGGTTGAGGACACATCAACAAAGTGCATTTCATCTACGAAAGCAGCGCCGATCATGAAGTGTCCATTGTTTTCTCAGGCCTTTACGAATTTCCGCACACAGCTGTTTCACTCTGACGTTCTACTGATTCCAATGTTGTTTTTTGAGAAACATGTTATTGATCGCATCGAAATATTCTCTTTTCTCTTTTTCTACTCTTTTACGACTATATTATTCCGGTTTTCTCACGCATATCAACTTAGATCCCTTAAATTATTTGATTTTCAGTGCATTTTCAGGTATGAACCAATTAGCTGTTTTGCTTTGCATCGTTGTGGCGCAATGTGTAGCGAAGCGAAACGCGACAGATGTGGTGAGTTATTGTGTTGTGTCCCACTTGCCACCCAGATCGAGAAACACCGAAAAGTTGATAGCCTATTGGCGCCTATCGGCCCTTTCGGAATGCGCCACAAGTTCAGCTTCCATACTAAATCTTACTGGCATTTCAATAAGCCCTTAATGTCTGATACCACGGCTTCTTCGAAAACAACTCCTTTGAAAAAACCTGAAACCATTCGAAATTGAAGAAATGACGTTTCCATCTAAGTAGTGATGGAGCAAATTTTTTATGGAAGATAAAACGATATGATTTGATCGAAATTGATAATTTTTACATTGAATTGTGAAACTATTAAATTCTGAATCTGCCTCATTGTTTCTTGCCCCAAAGAGGCACTAACTATTCGTGAGAGGAACGCTGGCTTCCTCAAGATGATTCTATCTGATTGCGCATTCAATAGATATGTAATTTGATAAAAGAGTAATTGTATATGAGCTCTTACAATTTGAACTGCTCGTCAAAAATTGATTTTTGAGGTTCTTTTGAAAGATGTCGTAAAAGTTGTACAAATTGGTTTTGTTAATGTACAGAGGTGGCAGTTAAATGAATCGAATCTATCGTTCTCTAACACTCTTACTTTCCACAGCGATCAAGTCAGACCTGCGCCCCATTCTACTCTACCTTCGCTTTAGACCTTAGTCGGGACTTGCTACGCAGTTGAATTAACCTCTTTGACGACAATCGCGCACCCATCGGTGGGTGCCACTATGTTCGTCGAGTAGGACAATGGCACCCAATGGTGGGTGCCACCTCAAACTTTCCTACTTTCTGAGCTAAACATTTGTAACACCCCAATATAAGAGCAAGTTCCATAATATCTATGGCTAGCACGACTTACAGAAATGTTTACTAAGAGCTAATTTATATAGAATTTTAGAATGTGCCATTTAGCTCGCCACCATATTAATTGGGGATTTTAAATTATTAGGCCGAAGATTTATTACTAATCAGGACTTCTTCGTCTTCTCATAGCCTTCAGATATGGGAAGGGGTTTGAAGTGTACCCGAAATTCTCTTGACACTAGAACTTTATAAAAGTTTTGCCCTTCTTCCCTTTGAAACGCGAGTTCCCCGTCCAAATTTGGAATTCTCTTAGAACTAACCATTAAAAGCCAAACTACTATAACAGGTATCTGTTCAGAGTCGCACCATTTTACAGAAAAATCGCTTAAGAGGACAATTTTTCCTAATTTTGAGCGAGAGCTGGGCGCGCCAGAAACAGGCGTGGTCCCACGAGCAAGCCCGCATTGTCGTCAAAGTGTTAAACGATGTGCAAAACAGTTTCGTGCTTCTAAATGCCTACTCCAACGATGGAAGGTCTAGTTGACCCGGACGGGATTCGATCCGACTTTGATCATCGGACGATGATGATGAGCGTGGTATATGGCCTCTCCCCACTACACAACCTCACAAATTGTGTAGATGTGTATTCGTGTATTCACAGATAAGCCTTCAAATTGTTAAAACAAGTGACAACGGCCTCCACAAAATCTGAAAATCGTCCGTATAAGCTGATGGCTGATAAATGATAACTGCTATTACTGGGAATGAATAGAATACAATGAAATCGGCTAATTATTCCGTTGGCAGCAAACCCTCACATTTTGTGGAGGCAGTCGCTAGTTCCGTTGCTTGGTCTGCGCTGCAGACGCAACTGACTGTTGGAAAACAAAGGTAGGTAACGGTCCGCAAATTCTCGGACGCAGATTAATTAGAAGATGGCCTGTAAAATTGTGACATATTTACGTTTGCCTGCAAATGAGAAATGTGGCCATAACCAATTTTTCAGCCGTTGTTCTGCGAGGAATACGCCAATTGTTTGGCAAAAGCCAATCGGAAATCGGCCGAATGTCTTGAGGAGAACACCACTGCGATCGTGCAGAACAGCAGGAAGCGTTGCGCAGGCGCCGCTGAACTCCATGCTCAGCTACAAGCGCTCTATGACGAGGTACGGAGTCCTAATTCTTCAAGAAGATTACCACGTGGTCAACTTACCGTTACTTTCTGAAGAGGCGCGCCAAAATGAGCCATAAAACCCGTAAAGGAGGCGAATGGATTTCCCAAAACCGTGCATGCAGAATTAAGCATGCAGTTTCTGAATGCCGTAACTGTCCATGTTATTCGAATTTCAATCTTTGTTTGCACCTGTCACCTTGGGCACCTTTGAGGGGGGGGGGCGGACCCATTGAGCACGACAGTAATTCCGCTGAGAGGGATGAATTTCTTTAGGGGCATTAGCCAGTGTTTCGCTGCATATAGCCAGTACTTCTAGCATTGAGGCACTGTCGACTTTGAGCAACGAAACCAGCACAGGTTGGTATTGACTTGAAAAGGCTCAAATGCTAATATATTTGCTTACCCTGTTTCAAAAATTGGCTTTAATTTGTCCTCGAAGAATACGAGCCAAGTAACCGTACTTATCCAGTTCAATCATTACTCCAAGAATCCGGCCTCACCTCTGAAAGTGGAAGCTGGAATTTTATAACGTTAGAAAATTGAAGCAGTAATGGATAAAAGAACGCTGTCAGTTATGGGATAAAAACATTGGTCTTAGGGCTACTGCGTAACTTCCAAAACTATGCTATCTTGGCACTGTGCTAATCCATTGCTCTACGGGATGCTTTCGCAATCCTTCACCACGTTGTCCCCAGAGCACATGTGTGGGTTCGATTTCCGCCGGAGACCGAGTGTTTGGCCCATAATTCATCACTAATGTGACAACATCCGCTTGTTGCGAACTCCGGCGTAGAATAGCAATCAACAAAACAAAACAAATTGAAAACCGTCAATAATAATAGTGTTTAGAGGAACGCAGAAGTGGAGTCGTGTGTTCGGGAAGAAGCCGATAACGTCTCAGCATTCAGCCCACGAAAAATCGAGAAATGTAAAATGGCTCTAAAGAAGGTGAGACAATTTTAGAAACGGCCTTTGGATCATTTCTTCTCCTGCCTTTCTCAGTCTATCAGTGGAAATAATTCTGTATAACTGTATAATAACCTTGTTAAGAGAATACAGTAAATTCAAACGTTCGCGGTACCCTATTTGAAAATCGGACTCACGCATGTGATTTTCGCGACAAGAGCGCACAAACCTTGCATTGCTTTGAGTTATCACTGCGCTTTGGCTAAGCTTCAAGCAAACCATATTTAGCCATGGGTTTCAGGCTCAGCTTTCCAACAACAAAAAGTAAGAATCACACGTGAAGCTGGCATCGTTTACATTCGTGTGCCCCCATCCGTGGCCTACATGAAAATTGCCGGCAGGGTGGCGCACCCGCGGTACGGTGCTCAGCACAAGACAGTTTCGGTCACACTCGACGTTATTGCCGATGCTCACCTTCTCTGACTCTTTAATCTACTTTGTCCCCACATTTCGTAACTCAGCTTCCCTCAAAAAATATTGTGGTCAGAGGAGAAGGACATTAGCCCAACAGGATGGAAGCTTTTTGAAGGAACAAGGTTTGTTGATGTACAGATGATTACAGTAAGCCTTCTAACTGAAAAATTTTTAAGCTTGTCCTAATCGGAATTGAGGCCACGTCGATCGTCTCGGTAAAGATCTTTTCCGAGAAGGTCTTGTCCCAGGAACAAGTTTTGCCCACGCAGATCCTGATCGGCAGAACGTCTCGTAGCATACACTGATCTTCTAGGCTCACCCTTGGCTTTTATGCCGTGAACGTCGGCGGGGCTGAAGATAAAACGTTCTCTAGCGTAATAATGTGAGCATAACTATGATCTAGTAGGTAAAAGCTAGAGATCTAAAAGCTAACGAAAATAAGATTAAAAGGCGGATGACTAATTGCAAAAGTAAATGAAGGTAATAACTTCGTATAGCATATTTTTGGTGGCAGAAAATTTACCATCAGGTATTGTTCACGGAAAAATTCGCCAGAGATCTTACACCCTCCGAAAACTCCTGTCTGCTTCGCACGGCTAGGCTTACTCAAGAGGTGTGCAACGTTGCCTTCGTATTTGTACTGCTGGTCACCAATTCGTGAAGAATCGGTGCAGCTACTTTCTGAGTACTAACGCGGGCCTCCGTGTGGGTGGCCCGCGTAGTACGTCAGAAAGTGTGTATGTGCGCTGTGCTTGTGCGCCCGCTGCCGGACTCAGTCCGCGACTCTGAATTTTTACCATGCGAAGGGCCTCCCTGTGGGTACCTCCACAGGAGGCCCGTCGCGCGGCAAGAAGGCAGAGTCAGCGGACGAGTCGCAGCGCGTGATGTGCGATGTAGGACGTACAGTGGCACATTCTATTCAACTTGACGCGAAATCACTACAGTACGCGCTGCAACTCGTCCGCTGAACGCGACGGGCCTTCTGTCGGGTACCCCATTTCCTTTACCTAAGGTATAGCTATTTCACGAGATTTCATTACTCACTGGTGCAAGGGAAAGACAGCGAAAGTGAAACTGACCATCAGAGTAATCCCAATAAGGGTTACAAGTTTGTCCAAACTGAGCGTTCTTGAGATATCACTGTGGACGGTCATTTAGCCTAAGTGCTCTTCTGCCATCTTCACACTGCCTTAGAGTAACCACTCCCCAAAACTGTTCAAATTCGTCTCTGCCTCGTAACTTAAAAACGAGATTTCAGTCAAAACGTTCGGCCTCTGCTGATCCACTGGAGCGTCGAATGAAACGAAAAGACAGAACAAAGGAGCGGAAAGACAAGCCGAAAAGCTGTGTGAAAGAGGCGAAAAAACAACGCCTGCAATGCGCAAAGATTGCCAAGTGTTGCGGTGCTGTAAAGAGGTAAGCGTTTATTACAGCCATCACTTTTTTAGTATTCTTCGGAAGGATATTTGACACTTTTCAGCTGCCAAGATCGTGCTGTACAGAAGAGTGAAATACTAGCAAAGAAGAAACAATTGAAGAGGCTTTACGACACCTGCCATGTCGAACTACGGAAGGTTCGTCACAGTTCCGATCCTTTTATTTGAAGAAAAAAGCGCCCATGGCTTATCAGCAACCCTAAATTTAACCCATCGTAGTCCTCCCATAGGCGGACTTCATGCTAACTCTTTTCGGGATAGATCCTTTGTTAAAAAAACTGGAAGGTTCCTATAAATCATTGTGTACAAACTTAAAGGCACATTTTGATGTGGTCGTTCCACTTGAGAATGAACGTAGATGTGGGAAGGGGACCAAGAAAGAAAAAAAAGCATCCCCCCAAAATATTGAAATTAGGCATCTTCTTCCTTGTAAGTTTAAACAGTACTACGACGAAGAGCACCAAGAGCTGAGGAGATTAGACGAAAGACAATGGCGGCGAACGAGACGCAGACACCCTACAGCGTAGACAGTGTTATGTGAATAACAGCTGAAGCCGATTTCAGCACAAGGGACATGCACTAGGGTCTTTTCCCGGACACGGCATATTTTCTACATTGGTGAACAGCTATATGCCACTCACAACAGGCTGCCTTTGGGCATCTACAGGTCGGGCGCTTTTTGGAAGCTGGGTATGGGTCAAAAATATTGGCTGTGACCACATTTATCACATTTGTCACCTCAGTTTTCACTGCGCTTGTCTCGGACATGATACCAAGTTTTAAGAGGCATTTCCGCCGGATACGACACATTTCACGATGGGCGCCCAAGCATTCTTGCGGTACCACAATTGTCACACCGCCGATTCTGTCGTATTACCTAGCCCAATCCCCGGACTATATGTCGCATTCCTTAGATATCTTAACAGAACGAAGCTAATCTGCCGTTTATCCTTTATCAAGCGGAACTTACGCACTGAGAATGAAAAGACGTGTCGCACACTTGCTTCGCTTCTTGGCCGCACCGGAACCACCGCATCGATTTTATTGGGTTGTCCGGAAAGGGGGGGTTTTTTCCGGGCCCCGGTTTTTATAGCTCACTTTTGAGTGCTTTAATTTCTGGGTCACTTTCGAGAAACTGCTAATGCTTTATATATCTTTAGAAAGCGCATTTCCCGCCTCTATCTATATCTACTGTTTTTCGGCCCTAAACCGCTTTTCCAATTTTTCTTTGGAGTCTTGAAGACAACCTACTCAACAGCCTGCTTTGCACTGGTTTCTTGTTTCCCCTCAAACTTGCTCGGAAATGTGCGGAAGCAAGTTGCGATATCTACTGAGCATTCGGTTCCGAGTCCACGAAAAATACGCTGTGGAGTCGTGATTCAAAAAGGCTTCCTCGCGATGTTGAAAGCTTCGAAAGAGATTAGTGATATCGGAGACTGATAAAGATCAGTTGAGGGTTTTGGCCAAATCAAATCTGCATGAAACTGTTGAAAAAGCTGCTTCTGAATGGGCGTAACCGACACAAGGTTTTCAAACATAGCAGTGAGGGTAAAAACCCCTGAAGAAGTCGAAAATTGGGTGCCGCCGAGCATTTTTCCCACTGTTGCGCAGCCCCATCTCGCACTTCCAGCACTGCACAAGTTGAACTAGCTGAGCTACAAAATTGTGCTGCAAATATTTAAGCACTAGACCTATTGCTTGCCAACTATCACCTTTCTAACCACCTGGAAGGTCTACTTATAGAGATTGAGCGTTGGAACCGAACATGGTGGTGGAACGACCTTCGGCGAGTTCGTAGCTCACAGAACTCCAGCACTTCCAACATAGGGATCAGTCAAACTCATTTCTTGTAGGCAAAAGTATGGGATTGTAATAGTTTATTTCGAGCAAAGCGCGCTTCGTTTTAACTGAGATATACGGTTTTGAATTCAAGTGTCAAAATCGGCGGAAACTTCTGGGGCAACCCAAATATATTGGAGCGTACTTGAAGTGTGCCACCTAGTACCAGAACCAAGTGCTGTAGAAACAGTAATAGTGGTGGTTTCGGTGAGGGGTATCGTACTATTAGAGGGATTCGGGGAGGGAGGGTGTGGATCGTAGAAAATTTTGGAATTTGCTGAACACGACGGCTGACGACGTTGATGGAAATGCATTAGCCATGTTCGTGTTGCATTGAAGGGAGAAGGAAGATCATTCGTCGACGGGTTTTTCACAATTTTCAGAAATAAAAGTCGATATTACGAAGCAGTTGCCGTTATTAAGATTTTTAGTCGAAATATTGTATAACACAAAAAAGGCACCAAAATGATATTCCAAAAGAATGCCAAAAGTTCACAAAATTCCAAGTATTCCAAAAATTCTAAAAAGAAAAATCCAAAAAAAACCCAAGGAACTGTTTGAAAAGGAATACCTTGAGGAGTAAAACTGTTCCTCGGTTTTTTTTATTCAATTTTCGGAATTTTTTACGAATTTTTGGAATTTTGTGAGCTTTTGGAATTCTTTTAAAATAAAATTTCGGTGCATTTTCGTGTTATCGAATAGTTCAGAACCTGATGTGGCTCGACGGATAGTCCAACGAAGTGTTGAGCTCTTCACCCCGTTCGGACGAATCCCCCTTGGGATGGGGGCCAGAGTTGAATGTATCGTTTAACTCACACTCAGAATTGTGAATTATAACGTTGCCGATGATGGTGTTGGTGTTGGGGGGTAGGGGTCAATCCACGCGGTTACTAGTAAACAGGCGCGGGGGCGGGGGGGGGGGGTCGTACCTGGTTGAGTTTATAGGAGGGGGGGGGTCGTATCCGCTTCAGTCGCGTGAAAGTACATGTGAGTTTGTGGTGAAAGTGGAGTTTTCACGAGTAGTAGGCTAGGTGAGTTGGAGCGCATGGGAGAAAAATTCGGAGTTTCGTGGGTTGAGTGGTACCAGAATTAAATACTATAGAGAGGAATATGGTGGTCGAGGTGTGGAAAAGGGGGTCGTACCAAGTCCACCTTGGGGGAGGGGGTCGTAAAAAATTTTGAAAAAGTAACAACGATAGGCCCTGGTAGGGGGGGGTGGGGTGGGTGAGGGAGATGTGTCACTGACAAGGCCTAGACTGTGGCGGTGGTGAGGGACGAGTCGAGATCCTTTCAAGATGGAGGAGGGTGTTCATAAAATTTTAAAGTTTCCGAAATCGGCTCAACAAGACGGTTGAACCTAGTTTTGGAAAGAGCTTTTAAAGTCCATCGATATTCTCTCCACTTTTTGCACCTTTCTCGATCTGTATCTGTCTAAACTCCGTCTATGATCACTAACTTACCGGCAGGTGGGAACGTTTTCAGCTAAGTTCGCATACAGGTTGATAGAAAGCTATTGTATTAAAAATTACCCAATCTATGCTAATACCCTAGCAACTAACAGACCTAGGACTCATTGCATGACGTGTATTAGACTGATAAATGAATTTCCAGAAAAAGCTCAGCAAAAAGCAGCCTAAAGATGGCAAAGTTGTGGAGAACGATGACGAGACCGACAAAAAAGCCACTAGGTTATTGAAGAAAAGAAGCCGACTAAACGAGAAACTCGAGGAGTCACAAGAACGGAAGCGTACGGCCCCTATTCAGACGAAGGTTTTAGAAGAGGTTGGTCAACATGAACGTGCAGTAAAAGCCGCTAACAATGATTACCACGGTCCGGTTATTGAGAATGGATTTGAATTAATTGGAGCTAAAGAACTCCACTCGAATTACAGAAAATAATTTTTTGTGAAATGTCCGGAATACGAATCATTTCGAAGGTACAGGATTTAAACTCGCATCAATCTCCAAGAAATGAAATGTTAGGGAGGCCCGAGGGAGAGGGACCCACCAGTCTGAAATCTTATATAACTCAACGGCACCAGAGATTTAATGTGCATATAACACAAAAAGGCACCAAAATTTATTTCAAAAGAATTCCAAAAGTTCACAAAGTATTCGGAAAAACTCCCAAAATTCCAAAAAAACCAGCAAAAAATTTAAAAAGAATTCTGCGATATTTCGGTGTATAACACCTTCGTCAGGCCTGAAATACATTGATTATAGGTGGTAAAAGTAATTTGGTGGTTTCCCGAACCCACACATATACCCACATGTGTATGCCTCAGCCAAATATTAGGCTGCCCCTAATATTAAAGATTACATAACATTGGACACGTAGTTAATTCAGTAGTTGTAGAGCGTCACGTAGTTCGTCCTTACTATTTATTTCGGGTGATAGTTTTCTTATTTCTAATGCCTCCAATAGTTTCCTTTCCACCGGGTTTCTATGGAGCGGTGTAATACCTTAATGGTCAATGTGGGGGGTTCCCCATATGTGTGTTTTTTGGTGCGGTGCTTGGAGAAGCTGCTGTTTGGATAGAGGCTGGGTTTTGTAACGCCCTTCGGTGTTCATCCAAACGCTTGTAAAGAGGCCTTTTTGATTCTCCAACATACTTTTGTCCGCATCCTTGGCATTCTATTAAATATACGGTATCCCTCAATGGCAAATATCACCAGTCTATTATCCTGTGCTTCTCAGCGCTGTTGATGTTGATGATTGACCCTAGCGCTAGCACAACCTAACGCAGCTGCCGTTTGTTTTGGGGCATGATCATGTTTTCCCAAACCGTAAAGTACAGAGCTCGCAATAACCCATTGCGGACCTTATTTTGCATATCTCTACAACTTTTCGCTCTTCTTCCAAGCAGTTATAGTAAACTATCGATAATTCGACCGATGTCGAGAAAGATTGATGTTTTTTCCCAGGAAGGGAGCATAGCATCCATAGTTACATATTGGGAATATGGAATAACTGTAGTGGTTTGGTTTCAGATCCAAGCCTCTGACAATAA